CCCCCCCCCCCCCCCCGGGCTACATGCCTGCCCACTGCTATACAATCCAGTTCAATGTGGATTTTATACAGCTGTGTAAAAGGGGTCTTTCTTCCATAACAGTATTTATTACCAACATGGGGTAACAATCTTTGCAAAACTTTCCAAGCACAATGCTTGGAGAAAGAGCTCTGTGACTGGAATTTTTCCTGGGTGCAAAAAGAATTTTGGAAAAATCTCCATTGAAATCTTTAGCATGTACTGTAGCATGTACTTCCGTCCTTCATTCTATCACTATATAATCAAACTTAAAATCACATTTTATTTACTTTATTGCAATTTCATTTTACCTCCTTTTTTGTCCATTTAAGACCCTCATGAAGTTCCACCATAACAACACCCTGTCAATATTACTATACCATATACCCCACCACACCACTTTAGCTCGAAGACAGCTATTTTAAAAGTGTACATTTCATCAATGCTTGGTTCTTAGCAGTTCTACAAGCCAATTTACTTATGAGAAGGGAAACTGAAAGGATCTATAATTCACACCTTGTAAAATCCATCCTTGCTCAATTACAAAAGCTGTAGTTGTTAAGTACAATAGCTTCTTGAAACAATGTCTAACTTGTCTTAAATCCCATCATCCAAGGGCCATATAACCTACAATATCAAGGCAGAAAATCCCATAATATTTGCTTTGAATTGGGTTATCTGAGTCCACACTGCCATATAATCCAGTTCAAAGCAGATAATGTGGGATTTTATTCAGCTGCATGGAAGGGGCCTTAGTCATGGAAAATATATATAATACTGTAATGTTTTTCAGTAAAAGCCAAAGCAAAGGTGCCAACTGATTTGAGTTAAATATCATTATAATAAAATGAGATGTAAGTCAGCATGAAATTTGGAGGCATGCCCCTTTGGTGGATTAGCTAGGTGAAGAAGTTTTCTGATATCTTTATGCATATGTTGACAGAGAGTTTAGATGCTCCGAAGAGGAGCTGCCCGTCGTAAAGTATAATTAATGAGAGATACCCTGGAATTCCATATCCCAGCACTTGCAAAACTAACCACATGAAAGGAGAGATAAGAAGGATATGAAAAGGTTAAAAACTTTAAAAAGTGGTCAGAAGTGGAGGAGGGAGTTGGAATTGGCTGTTTGCCATTTGCAAGATAATCCAGTTTAAAGCAGATATTGTGAGATTTTCTGCCTTTATATTCTGGATTATATGACTGTGTGGAAGTGCCCTTAAAAACATATCCAGCACAACTGCCCTAAGATGTATATGTCTGACATGAAGGGGATAGGTAAGTATACAATTAGCTTTTATATAGCCTGACAAATCAATTCAGTGAAATTAATAGCTCCTGATTATTAGACACAGTCTCACATCAATGACAATATAAACTTGTTTGGCAAGAAAATAATATTATGATTGATAGGTTTTATTCTGTTCCTGGGTGATTTCACCAGTCACAGATAATATAGTTTATTTCATATATATATATATATATATATATATATATATATATCTCAAGATGTCATGACTTTTGGAAATGACCTTCCTAATGCCCCCCCCCCCCCCCCCCCACACACACACACACACTGTCTTATATCTTTAAAAGTTTTCAAAAATGACTCACTGGGGATTTCTCCTCACTTCCACTCCCCATCAGTCATTACTGAGATCTCACTGCAATAAGAAATCCTTGGCAATATTGCAGATTTTGAAAGCATTTTCTCACATGGTCCATGGTTCTTTCTGATGTGTCACTCTGCTCTTTATCCCTATATACTGGTAGATTTTATCACTAAATCCAGGTGGTTTTATCTCCCAAATGTCCCTGAAATCTTCCATTTCCTCTTCATTCTCACCACAAAAATATAAATCTTGTCAAGTCCATCATCCTCTTCATCCTTGATTACTGCAACCTCATTTTCTTCAGGCTCCAGCTGATACCCTCAACATTCAGTTCTGCCACTAATCTGTTGTGAAAATAATCCTCCATTAAGATAGTGCTCTGACATTCCTAAATTGTCATCTCTGCTGCCTCTCCGTTGCCTGTTACATCTGATGTAAGCTTCTTGTATTATCCTTAATGGGTTTATGAGCTGACCCCTTTCCTGCTCCTCTCTGCTTTTCACCTTTCATTCCTACCATCTCAGCTCATCTAAGCTTCTCATCAAGATATCTCTGTCTCTCTCCATCTTTCTATTTCTCTCTTATTTTCACCTATGTGCTGCTCATGTGGTTTCTTCCTGTTTGTCAGTTCACAAAAAGTATAGTTGAAAAATATTTCTGAGAATGCACAGGGAACTCTTTCTATGCCTAAACCAAGCTAGCAAATAACAGTTAATTTCCATTGGAAAAAAGATTGGGAATCTGAATATAATGCAACAACATTGGGCTCCCTTGTAGAAATGCTGTTCTGGGAATTCCTAGCATTAGTAATGCAATTATCATTATCACTACTTTCTGCAATTATTTTCCCTCTGAACTCACAGTCTGAACTACAGGTTGAACATCCCTTATCAAGAATTCCAAAATCAGAAATACTCCAAAATTCAAAATTATTTTCATGGATGGTGAGTTCAATGTACACCAACTTTGATTCATGCACAAAATAATTTAAAATGCCGAATATATAATTATCTTTGGGCCATGTGTATAAGGTATATATGAAACCTAAATAAATATCAGGATTAGATGGGGGCCCCAACCTCTAAAATAACTTGTGATGTTTAGCAAGTGTTCCAAAATCTGAAAATATTTGAAATATGAAACACCTCTTTTTCCAAACATTTCAGATAAGGGTTATTGTATCAATGTGAACCACAAGTTTTAGCTTCCTGTCCACATCTGCAATTCTAAGACATCATGTAGCTGATTGTTGTCCATAATCCAATGATGTTTCTTTCCTTTTGTGTTTGCATTTGGAGTATTACATGGCAGTTATTTTGAACTCTCAATTGACTGCTTAGCAAATCAATAAATTGTTGTGATGTATATGAAAGCACAGAAGGCATTCTAGAGTTTGAACCAGAAAGACACACATCCACATAAGATCAATCTATTGAGCAATGGTAGGAACATTCACCATTCTTATTGCTTTTGTCTTCCAAATAATACAGCATTTTCCTGTTTCCAGGGAGATGGGAGGGCTCAGTTTATAGTGACATTACAGCTAGTTTAGTCGCTAAACTTTAGGGAAGGTTTTTCTTAACTCAGTTTTCACAAACATGCTTTTTAAGTATAGCAAACTGCAGATTCTTCACAATTGTGTAATTGTCTCCCACAAATTTAGTGGGGAAGTTTATAAGTGGTAGCCAAACAACTTCAGGGGTTTCTGAAGGAAGCTGATTTTCTAGACCCATTTCAATCTGACTTCAGGTTGGGTCACTGAATGGAAAAGGCTTTGGTCACCTTGATGGATGACCTACACTGAGAACTAAATAGAGAGAGTGTTACCTATCTGGTGTTCTTGGACATCTAAGTGGCTTTCGGTACAATTGACAGTGATACCCCCTGGAGCATTTCGAAGGGATGGAACTGAGAGGCATGGTTTTGCAGTGGTTCCGGCCCTTTCTCTCCAGTCATAGCCAAAAAGTGGTGTTGGGAGTCCTGCTCAACCCCATGGCCACTACACTGTGGGGTCCCACAGGGCTCATCTCTACCCCCGATGTTATTTAACAGCTACTT